ACCCTAAACCCTATAGACTCTACTAAGAAATGAAAGTGTGGCGCTGCAAGTGGTAGTGGGGGGCAGGAGGCCGCACGCCTACTGTTGCTGCACGAAAGACTTACGTTATTAATACTAGGATTTAGCGCTTAGGGTTTAGGGNNAGGGTTTAGGGTTTAGGGTACTAGGATTTAGGGCTCAGGGGTTTAGGGGTTTAGGGTCTAGGGTCTAGGGCTTAGGATTCAGGCCTGATAGTTCGGACAACTCCGCGACATGGTGTACGGAGGCAGTGCAGGATATTGCGATCACCGTGTTGCCTGTTCCACCCTACAGTCTGCGAGTAGCCACAGGCAAACCTGCCTCGCAGAGGTCACATCACCCACTCAGGTCGACGAAGGGTTTAGGGTTTAGGGTGTAGGGTTTTGGGTTTAGGGTGTAGGGTTTAAGGATTTAGGGTTTAGGGTTTAGTGTTTAAAATAACATACACCATTAGACCATCACAAGTTGTATGATACTATCTTCTAGTCTAATAGACTAGAAGCAGCTCTGTGGTGGCGACATGTGTCAGAAGGACTTGGAGGCCCACCAGGGGACTTAGTAAGTCGGTTATAAGTTATAAGTGGGGTCATAATTGGGTTAACTCTATTTAGGGTACTTATAACTCCACTTATAACCTACTTACTACGGTGGATGATAAAAATCCTGCATGACCTTAAGGACCCTAGCCCTAAACTATGGGAATCATGGTATATTCCGTATTATGGGGATTTATACCATCAACCGTAAGGCCCTAGACCCTAAACCCAAAACTTTAAACCCTAAACCCTAAACCCCTAAACCCAACAGGCCTCCAAGGAGGGGTTCAGAATTTAAGGAGAAGACACTTCGACTTCGAAGATGGGGCTCGCTGCAACGGGCAAGAGAAGCCCAAGAACTTGCCGGGCTTGGAGTTTGGGGTTTAGAGCTTAAGTTTCTAGTGTTTAGGGTGTAGGGTTCAGGGTGTAGGGCTTAGGGCTGAGATGCGGGGTTCCCTATTCGGGATTCCATTTGGAAGTGCCCCCGGATCCTACCCTAAACCCTAAACCCTAAAGCCAGACATGAGTTTATAAACCAAGGGTCTAACGTCCCCCCAGCCCCCGCACATTCCCTGCAGCCTTAAGGCAAGCTAGAGTTTAAGGGTTTAGGGGATTAGGTTTAGCCCTGGGAGGATCACCAGAGACTTCTTCCAGCTGGACATACTGTTGATGATATAAAACCTGCATTACCTTCAGGACCCTAAACTGCGGGAATTATGGTCTATTCCTTGCTATGGGTAATCCTGGATTTGTATCATCAACCGTAGTTGGGGAACAGGGCTTGGGACTACAAGTTCATGGTTCAGCTCTGCCGCTGAATTAGGCCCCCACATTCGGAGTTTCCATCTTCGTTGGTGTTGAAGTACTTTGACTTTCTGCCCCTGCCTTGCCATCCATGACATAGCTTGCAAGCAGGTTCCAATGGAGCGGTGATGGCTAAGCCCTAGATATGGGGGCCTAGGTCACAACAAGACTTTTTGGGGTATACTAGTCCCTACACCCTGAACCCTAACAATACAGTTGGTGATATAAATCCTGCAGTACCCATAGGAAGGAATATACCATAATTCCCGTAGCTTGGGATCCTCAAGGTAATGCAGGATTCATGTCATCAACAGTAGTAACCCCCTACGTAAATCCGAAACCCTAAACCCTAAACCCTGAACTCTAAACCCTAAACCCTAATAATATTATAGGAACCCTAAGCCCTAACAATATGGCCCGATCCGGTTCTTTTGCACTCCCATGGTAGACTTGGGGGTTGCAGCTGCGTTGGGCTTCATAGGGCCGTTTAGGAATGCTTCCATGTGGGTGTTTGGCTTTGGGTTTAGGGTTTAGGGTTTAGGGTTTATGAACACTTTCGTTTGTAAGAAGCAGTGCCTGTTGCCGTCCATAGCACCCGTTTTTTCCCTCTCTTGGGACAGCCAATCCAGTTGGCAAGCTACCCGGGTGCAACAGCATGAGTCGTCACCGACTCACAATCTGAACGCGAAGCGTCGCCCATGTACAGTGATGGCCACAGTAACTACATCGACGACGACGACTACGAAACTTGATATTACCGTTATTGCTCTTGTTTCGATGCTAACGTCAACAACCCTAAACCCTAAACCCTAAACCGTGGGAGGATGGTGACGAGCACAATTGACTTCATTGTCACTGCCATCCCCGACCATCCTTACCCTAAAGCCTGAACCCGAAGCAGCTTACTTGGAGCCGCAGGGGACTCAAGAAGTCGGCTATAAGTACGGTTATAGTTGGGTTAACTCTATTTAGGGTACTTATGACCCCACTTATAACCTACTTACTACGGTTGATGATATAAATCCTGCATTACCTTAAGGACCCTAAGCTATGGGAATTATGGTATATTCCTTATTATGGACCCAAAACTATGGGCATTATGGTAGATTCCTTATTATGGGGATTGATACCATCAACCGCAAGTCCCCGGGCCTCCAAGTAGGCTTCGGGAGCCTCTGTTTCACGACCGGGCCAACATTACCACGCCGGCAACAGCGAGGAGAGCCCCAACTGCCGACCGCGCCGTGACTGCTTCTCCTTTCCTTAGCGGTTTCGGGGCTTAGGGGTTTAGGGTTTAGGGTTTAGGATTTAGGCTTTAGGGTTTGGGGTTTAGGGTTTAGAGTTTAGGGTTTAGGCGAGGGTTCAGGGTATGGGACCTGGAGCCCTGAAGCCTAAGCCCTGGACCCGTGCGCTTTGGGGTTGAAGGTGTAAAGATGCTCATAGCATTCTGGGAACGCCGCTAGACAACCGAGTCTTAACCAGCATCCGGTTTAGGGTTCAGGCTTTTTGGGCTTATGGGGCTTGTAGGGTTTGTAGGGTTTAGGGCTTACAGGGTTTCGGGTTTGGGGTTTGGGGTTTAGGGCAAAGTGAAAAGAGCTCCAAGCACAGCATGGCTTCATCAGGTAGACGAGCGGAATAGCATAGATGGGTCCGAAGCTCGCGAGGGTGATGGCGAATGCCAGTGGAATCTGAAACAGCGCGTAATTATAGAGGACTGGATTGCAACACGTCACGAGGAGCACGCCCATGGAAACCAGAAACCACTCGCGCCGCGTCATAGCGATGAGGGATGCTGGTACCAGGCTTTCTCTCTTGCCAGATTCCAGGAGTGGTTTCGTTTCATCGTATGGCAGGACAGCATCTTCCAAAGACTCGTTCTGTGATGCCATGCCGGACACCTTCATGACCAAGTACACTGCTAGCAGCATGACTGAGGCTGCACCGAAGCGAATGACAGTGATGTCCAAGGCGTCTAAGGGGGGGCCACCCCACCTCTTTGTGAGAAAGGCTCCCATAGCATCAAAGAACACATTTACAAATGCAAGAGCGTAGCCGGAGAAGAGCACGTCCCCATCTGGTATTCTGTCTGCACGATCTTCATTGTCTGTTTCTCTCTCCAATGCACACAGAAAAACACCAACTACTGTGGTAAGCATGCCCGCATATCCGAGGCTCGCGATACCTTGTGTGGTTCGTTGTTTTAAGAGAACTGTGCAGAAATCTGCAAGCAGCATGACAGTCAGCAGTAACAGCGATAGTAAGCACATTGCATCGATATTAGCGTCACGGTAGTCATAAGAAGTGGAATATGAAAATACTACTAACGTCAAGCGTAACCGGAGTTTCACTTGGAAACGACAGCTCGAATGAACCATGCCCCAAGATACGCTCGTCCAAAAAGATCCGTCCAAGCATAGCCTCAAGGGGCTTATTAATATGAGTGTATCCTGAGAACGCTACAGGAAATGGAGTTATAATGTCTGTTCTCAATGCAGATCGCACAAAGGTACCCGTTTAAACCCTCTGGAACATCTACACAAACTCACCCTATAGGTACACACACGCCAACATCAACTGCACACCCAACACGCAAAGCCAGACACTAATCCAAGCGCAAGTTGCACCAATGAAGGGCGCCAAGCAGTCCACTACAATGACCCGTCGCGCGCCGATACCTGCGTGCTAATTGTTCCTGGTGGTTTAAGGTTTACGGTCTAGGGTTTAGGGGTTTGGGGTGGTATAAGTATAGGGTTGAGGGCGGGGCTTCGGCTATAGGCTGTGGTCTCTTATTGTGCTACATGTAGATCAACCGGCCAAGTCAACGAATAAACGAGCTTTGCTTGCAGACCGACATCTCTTCTTGGGTTGCTCTTGTGAAAACATGTAACATTTGTAGGGAAATCGAACCAAGACATAGACAAATTGCTGAGGCCAGACCAAGCTGCGCTGCAGAGCCATCAACCAGGTAAGGTCACCCACGACAATGCCAATCCTTTGGAGTTCAGGGTTATTGAGGGTTCAGGCGCTCATGACGCCTATCCGGCACCAAGGTTCGTAATCGTAGCAATCTAGGTCGAAGCCATGGAACTGCATAAAGAAATAAAACTACAGCCTTTCCGACTTGCTGCAGTAGTAGTGTGCATGTACATCGCACGGGTGATTTTGACAATGCGCTAGGTGGCATTAGTGGCATTGTCCTGGGTTTGGCGTCAATAACTCATGTTTCGTGCCAACCTTTGCAGCCTCATTCATGCATGGAAGAGTTGCACGTGGTACGCGTGTTGACGTTTTCATCTCACAGGACTCTCCTAAACCCTGCAGCCCTAACCCAACACCCTGAACCGGTTGTGGTCACTGTGGTCATACAGCTCGGCGGCTCCCTGTCTGCCGCATTTGGCGCGAGTTCAGGGTTTAGGGTTCTGGCCCATTGGAAAACTAAAGGGAGAAACTCTCAGACAAGGACTTCGGGTCTAATGAGCAGGGAGGACCACTTCGGAACCGTAAGCCCCGAAACACTCGACCAGGCATCAATGAGGAGACCACGAGCATGTTCAGGGCCATGCCACTTGCCTCTGCTCAAAGAACACTGCTACAGCTGAATCACAGCAGCAGAACCGCTAGCACGGATAATGCTCGTACCACTTATCCAATAGTAGTAGTAGTAGTAGTAGTAGTAGTAGTAGTAGTAATAGTAGCAGCAGTAGTAGCAGCAGCAGCAGCAGTAGCAGCAGTGGCAGTCGCAGTAGCAGTAGCAGTAGCAGTAGCAATAGCAGGAGCAGGAGCAGAAGCAGTAGCAGTAGCAGTAGCAGTACTAGTAGTGGTAGTAGTAGTCGTCGTCGTAGTAGTAGTAGTAGTGGTAACAATA